AAGTATATTGTGGACCCATCACCAGATGGTTCTCCAGAACTTTATCATCTTCCCTTACCAGACTCTGTCTCCATTAGACAATCACCCCCATTCTTCCTCCCCCAAGACTCAGGCAACCATGATTCTACTTTCTGTCTCTATGGATTTGACTGATCTAGGCACTGCATATATGTGGAATCATACAATATTGGTCCTTATTTATCTGGCTTATTTCACTTAGCACAATGTCTGAAATGTCCACCCATGTTGTGGGCATGTATCAGAATTACATTTATAGAAAGTTGAATACTATTCCATTGTATGCATATGTCACATTTTGTTTTTCCCATCATTCATTGATGGACATTTGGGTTGTTTCCATTATTTGGCTATTGTGAATGATGCTACTATGAATATGAGTATACAAATATGTTTGAGTCCCTGCTTTCGATTCTTTTGAGTACATACTCAGAGGTGGAGTTGCTGGGTCAAATGGTAGCTCTGTTTAATTTTTTGAGGAACCACCATATTCTTATATTTTTGTTGAGAGCATGCTCTTTCAGGCCTCTGCAGGTGGACCCTATGTCTGCTCTATTTGATGCAATGTCAAGTACAATTTATATACTTGATGCATAGCGATCCCTATTGTAAAATAGAATCATTCAAGTGTAATGTATAGTTCACTGTCCAGGTTATAATTAGTGCAAGGATTGGCTATAGTTTATTAGAGATTTATTTATTTATTTTATTTATTTAAGTGAACTCTACACCCAATGTGGGGCTCAAACTCACGATTCTGAGATCAAGAGTCACGTGCTCTACTGATTGAGCCAGCCAGATGCCCCGATTAGAGATTTTAATCTGTGACAAGAGTAGATAGCATAGCCAAATACTGAGCAATGAAACATTGAATAACGTTTTCAAGATGACCGGTTTTAAAAACATTTTTGATGTCTCACTGTAGGCTTCCTAATCTCAACTTTTCTAGGAAAAGATAGCAGTTAGTGGCAACTATCCACTACGCTTTACAAACCGGTGGAAATCTGGATCGATATTTACATAGTGCCACAAATTCTTAAGTCCAAGATAAGCTTCGGTCAGCACAATTCTAGATTTTACAATTTTAAATACCCTGAATGATGTGTGTTGAAATCGGTGGGCTGGGAGATACTGATCCCCACTGTCCCCAGGATGGCCAGATGGCTGGAACTTGGAGCAGCCAGAGATCCGTTACTGGTCACCTGATCACTAGGAGTCCAGGACTCACTGAAATATGGCCGAGGAGGGGTGCTACCACCTAGTCATTCACCACAGCAGCAGCTGCAGCCTCTGAGTGTGCCCTCGCTCATCAAAGACAAGGGAGTTGTAGCATTGCTGTAGCATCTGACGTTTCAAGTACTGCGGTGCCATGGGTGGAATAGGGGCTGAAGATGGGGCCAAGGCTCCTCGCAGGTACAGCTCCGGACAGCCTAGCTTTCCGCTTCACATACATGGAATACTTCTGAACTTTGTGGTCAAAGCCATGGGCAAGGTGTCTGTTTTTTGTTTTGTTTTCTTTTTGTTAGTTTATTTATTTTGAAAGAGCGAGAATGAGCGGGGGAGGGGCAGAGAGAGAGGGAGGCACAGAATCTGCAGCAGCTCCAGGCTCTGAGCTGTCAGCACAGAGCCTGACGCGGGGCTCGAACTCACAAACCACGAGATCATGACCTGAGCTGAAGTAGGACACTCAACAGACAGCAGAGAGCCCAAAGTGGGGTTTGAACTTGTCAACTTTGAGATCACGACCTGAGCCGAAGTTGGACGCTTAATTGACTGAACCACCCAGGCGTCTCCAGGGTGACTGTTCTAAAAAACACATGTACCTTCTGTGAATTATAGCCTCATCATCTTGAAATATTTGATGTGGGTGATTTCACTTTGAAGTCTATGTTATAAGAAGTATCACATTATATTTGTCAATGAAAGGAGTTGGAGTCTTTAAATTTAATTTCATTCATAAATAATTGAGATTTAATTCAAATACCATAAAATCCCCTTTAAGGGGATTTTAAAATAAGGATTTAAAGTATAGGAGTCAAGCTTTATTAGCATGCTCACAGTTGTGCACCGGCCATCACCCTCTAACTCCAGACTACTTCCCGCACATGAAAAAGAAGCTCTGTTAACAGTCATTCTCTATTTCCCTCTACCTTTGGGCCCTTGCAACCACCAATCTACTTTCTGTCTCCATGGATTTGCCTATTCTGGACATTTTATATAAATGAAGTTATACATTATGTGCCTTTTGAATCTGGCTTCTTTCACTTAGCATAATGTTTTCAAGATTCAGCTGTGCTGTAGTGTGTATCAGTACTTCATTTCTTTTTATGGTCAAGTAATATTTCACTGGATATATTACATCTCATTTATCCATTCATCAGTTCAACCATAAATTTTATTTATTTATTTTAGAGAGAGATTGTGTGCTAGTGGGGGATAGTGGCACAGCGAGGGAAGAACAGAATCCTAAGCAGTTTCCACACTCAGCATGGAGCCTGACGGGGCTGGGATCCCACGACCCTGGGATCATGAACTGAGCTGAAATCAAGAGTCAGATGCTCTATTGACTCAGCCCCCAATCATAAATTTTTAAACAATTGTAAAGATAGTTTTAAAACTTTTGTGACAAATTTGTGCATATAAGTTTCTTGTAAATGGTGGTTATGGAGAATCTGAAGATACCATCACTATAAAGTCTGGATTAGGAATTGTGTGTAGAGTTTCAGCCTCTTATCAAAAAACATCATGTTCCCACAAGTGATTTAAGTCTTCTATTGACATTCTAAAAATCATTTCTTTGAAGTGTTATATAAATCTAAAAATTTCTATAAAACTTTGTACATATTTTTCTTATAATTGTATAAAGGATATGGAATGAATTTTTTCTCTAAGTCACATGTATACATTCCTAAGTCCCCTCGTTTATTCCATTGTGCCAAACAAAATATTTTTGATTTTATTTTTGTTGTATTTTTTTTGAGAAAATTTTGTTTTTACATTTATTTATTTTTGAGAAACAGAGCGTGAGCGGGGGAGGGGCAGAGAGATAAGGAGATAGACTCTGAAGCAGGCTCCAAGCTCTGAACAAGCTGTCAGCACAGAGCCCGACGTGGGATGCAAACCCACGAACTGTAAGATCATGACCTGAGCTGAAGTCTGACGCTCAACTGAGTCACCCAGGTGCCCCTATTTTTAATTTATTAAATGTTTATTTATTTGTGTGAGAGGGAAACAGAGTGTGAGTGGGGGAGGGTCAGAGAGAGAGGGAGACAGAATCTGAAGCAGCTCCAGGCTCTGAGCTGTTAGCACAGAGCCTAATGTAGGGCTCGAACTCACAAACCACGAGATCATGACCTGAGTTGAAGTAGGACACTTAATGGACTGAGCCACCCAGGTGTCCCAGAAAATTTTATTTTTAAATAATCTCTGCGCCACATGTGGGACTCAAACTCATAACCCCAAGATCAAGAGTCACATGCCCCACCAGCTGAGCCAGCCATTCGCCCCCTTAAAATTAATTTGTTTTAAATGTTTATTTTTGAGAGAGACAGTGAGACAGAGTGGGAGTGGGGGAGGAACAGGGAGAGAGAGAGACACTGAATCTGAAGCAGGATCCAGACTATGAGCTGTCAGCACAGAGCCCAACGCAGGGCTTGAACTCTCTGTGAGATCATGACCCGGGCCAAAGTCGGAGGCTTAACTGACTGAGCCACCCAGGGGCCCCAAAATATCTTTTTATGTTATGCCAGCATGTGAAAAATGTTGGGAGGCACACCTTACAGAAAGCTTCAGATTTTATCTAAGGATTTTTATTTTTTAAGTTTAATTTAAAAAATTTTTAAAAAGATTTTAAGTAATCTCTACACCTATCACGGGGCTCAAACTTAACAACCCCAAGATCAAGAGTTGCATGCTCTACTGACCGAGCCAGCAAGGTGCCCCGAAAAACCTCAGATTTTTAAAGAGGTTTCCTACTAGGAAGAAATGGCCACACTTACAGGTCTTTTATGGCTGAGAAAGTTCACAAATTTACAACCTTGCAAACTGATATTACTACCCTACAAAATTAAGTCTTCATAAAGAGCTCATGGACAAAGTTTAGTCTTGAGTGGTACAGGGGCTGTATGGAGACAATGGGTCACTTTTGTGGAGAGTCAACCTTTCCCCCCCGGCTTTCTTGAGGTATAACTAACCAAACTGTAAGGTATATAAAGTGCACATCATGACAATTTGATATATACATCGTGAAAGGATGTCCCCCATCTGGTTAATTATTAATATGTGTATCAATCAATCCACGTATTTATCTCCCCCCATTTTTGGTGAGAACATTTGTGTTCTACTCTCTCAGCACATTTCTATTACACAATACGGTATTTTCAACTATAGTCACCACATTATACATTAGATGCTTAAGTCAATCTTTTAATGGGCTCGATCTAATCCATTCATTTTCCATGATTGATAAGATCATCTCAAGTCTGAATCATGATTTTTGTGACAGCAGTTAATACTCTGCATATTTTTTTTTAGTTTTACTTATCCAGGGGACTGGCAGAGAAAGAGAGAGAGAGAGAGAGAGAGAGAGAGAGAGAGAGAGAGAGAGAGAGAGAAAGAATCCCATTCAGGCTCCATGCCCAGTACAGGGGCCCAATGCCCAATGTGGGGCTTGATCTCACGACTGTGAGATAATGACATGAGCCAAAATCAAGAGTTGAACACGTAACTGACTGAGCCACCCAGATGTCCCTAAATTATATATTTTCAAATATGTATGCATGCATGTATGTATGTATTTATTTAAGGAATCTCTGTGACCAAGGTGGGGCTTGGACTCACAACCCTGAGATCAAGAGTCGCATGCTCTACTGACTGAGCCAGCCAGGTGCGCCTCTTTATAAGACATTTTGTAAAACAAAATGTTCTCACATTTAAAGCTGTAAACTCTAGATGTGAAAATAACACATACACACCACACACTGTTACACTGTTTTATAATTTATTTTTAAAATGATAGTAATAAATGCTTTTCCCTTGTTGGGAAATGACGTATCTATTTTCAGTGGCTAGAGCCTTAAAAAGTAACAGCATTCTGTTCAAGCTGAACTTGTATAATTGCACAAAAGTCATAGAAAGCATTAAGAAGTGCTAGCAAAGATTGCAGCTCTCTCAGATCCTCAGTGAGCACCCCCTATAAGGCCTTGATGTCAGTGGGGACCCCTGATCTGAGCAATACTGATGTTCATCCCAAGTTCCTTGGTGACACTTGGGCAGAGGTAAGAGGAACAGCCAGGAGGACCCACGTGCTTTGGGACAATGGAATTCTGCCCTCATTAAACGTTAGCATTAATGCATTCACCTTCTCATTATATTAGGAACATTAAACACTTCAGCTTGAGGTGTATTTTCCCAGGCCTGAAATGTAACCCTATCAGCTTAAGTTTTAGGTGACAGATCTCACTTCAGGAAACTAAAATTAAAAAAAAAAAAGAAATGAACATCATAAAAACCTCTTCCAAGCAGGGTCCTTTATGCTGCCACCAGCCTGGGCCCTCGGTCAGTTTCTCACACACACACACACACACACACACACACACACGAGCTACATTATCATTAATCATACGCCAGCTGAGGGATGGCAGATAGGGTCTGACTCAGATCCCAACTTTGTTTTATTGGTAGCAGTTATTGGAAACCCAAGTGTTCCAAAGGACTCTGTGGTCACAGCTGGCCTGGTGGGCAGTGCCCATGCTTTACTTGTGACCTCTGACACAGACAAGGGGGAAGGGGAGTCAGCACTCCTGCATCAGATCTGTAATCTCTGTATTATTAAGAAAGCTAAAGGGGGGTGTTGGCAATATAAGCTTTGAAAAATATAACACAGTTCAATTGCCCTATTTTAATGAGTTACAAGGTCTTTATCTGGGGTTTTCTTATTTTATGAATCTTTACCTCAAATTAAGACATAATGTCTACGGTAGGAAGTTTCCCTTTCTGACTTTGTTGCAAAGATGAGTGAACCAAGGTTTAAAATAAGACACAGAGAGAACTTTAAGTCACGTCATGAGGAGCACCTTCCTAGTTTGGATATTAGGACTATGGGGGGAGGGTTTCTACTCAAGTATTTGTACTGCTGTGTTTCAAATAAGTCTTTTGAGTATGAAGAAAAACAGCAATTCCTGAGACAAACACACAAAAGTACGTGGCACAGGCTATCTGGATGTGCCTCCTTCACTTACATGGTTATGTATCATTCACGACCCAACCATCTCTCTTCAACTGAAGGAGAAAAATCCCAGTGTAACATCTAAAGGATTTCTGAAGATTAAGGTTTTCATTAGGAGAGGCTGGTGCATATATAAAGTATTTACGCACTTTGCCTTGGAGGAGGCGCGGGCCGTGTCTGCGGCGAGGCTAAGAACGTAGGAGACTCCTGCCTCACGCACCACTAGCTGCTCAACAAATCCCAACTGTATCCGACGGCCCCGAAACACTAGGCCATCTCTTCGTGGTGCGGACAGTCTGATCCAATGCTTAGCTACTGAAGTTAATCTGGGACTCAAAGGACAATATGCTTGGGTCAGGGACCAAAAATCACCAGAAGAATTCTGCAACAGGTATTCTGTGGCTCACGACAGCTGCACAACTTGACTAGGTTCTGACCAGAGGAAGTCGGTTTTGTGTCCGGGTATGATGCTGCACATAAAAGCCTCCCAGGCTTTTACTTAGAAAGTTGAAAAACACTGAAAGTGATTTATAGCAAGAAAAGGCAATTCCTTATTCCAGGATTATAAGTGAACAAAGGAAACTCAATCCAAGGAAAGGGTTGTAGAGGCCAAGGAAGCCCAGAGGGTGAGAAGTTGTGGATTTATTGTCAATCCCCTTCTTTTAGAAAGTGGCACAGGGCTGAGAAGTTGGAGGGAGGCGGGGAAGACGGGCGCGGGGACGAGACTGGTCGTGTGGCCATCCATTCCCACAGCTGCTCAGCAGAGCCAAGCATTCGAGGGTGAGCCCTGGCAGGACACCGTGTGCATCACTGATTTCTAACATGGCCTTTGTCTCCTGATGGCGATGCCGCTGTCTGCTTCTGGCTGTGTACCTTGGGTTTTCCGGGTAAGACGGGCAAACCTCTAGCGCCGCAGGGAGTGTTAATCCCCTCGCCTGTTTCTTTCTTAAAGCCCCTCGACTTTATGCTCTAATGACCAGCAGGTTCCGTACACTGTAGGCCGTATCCAGGTTTAAAGGAGGTGAACACATAGGTCGAGGACAGATGCTCCCAAATAAACCACTTGACAATCTAGCCCCGTTCACCCTGCAAACTGAGTTCCTGTACGACTGCCGCCAATGCCATGTTGAGGGAAACACGACTCCTTCCTACTGCCCTTCCAGGACTAATATTAGACAAATGAAAGGATCACAAGGTGTTTACAGGTACTTAGTGAGTTCCATATTTTGCACTAGAGGAAGCTACAGAAAGAGAGCAGGCGCATCTCTCTGAAACCTGGATGCCATTCCTCTGACTTCAAGAGGGTAAGGAGACGGTCCACCTCTGCCCGGGGCGGCAGCTTCCACGGTGTGCCAGAAGGGTCAGTGCACTAAGAATCTATCAAGAAAGCATGGATGCCTGGGAAAGGAATCATCTTCAGACTGAGAACAGATGGAGAGAAGTCTAGATGTGCAGAAGACACGTATATGTTTTTCTTTCTCTTCCATCTCTTCCCTTATCAATAATCTAAACGTTTTCTAGGTCACAGGCAACCAAATAGCAAGAAAAACTCAAAACTGTTTTAATAGTTAGTGTTGCTAGAATCTGGTTAGAGCTGAATGGTGGGACTGCAGGACACCAGTGCCCATAAGGGCTCATATGGCTCCAGCAGACGCGTAGGATCTGGAAGAAACGGACAGGAGTTATGGAAGATATGTGCTGGCTACCCACAATCACTGACAGGTGGCTTTTAGTACAGGCAGAGACACTGGTGGTTAGCTCAGAATACAAGCATCATAAACATCTTCTAACATTAAGCAGACTTCAGCCAAGTGCAGAAAGGGAAAGACCTGTTTCTGCATATTTAATTGTGTTAATTGGAATGCACGGAGAAATGGAACCATGATCTTTCTTTACATTTAAAAATTCAACCTGCCTTGGTCATTAACTGTATAGAGTTAACGTTACTAACGCTGCACTAACATCCGGTTCAAAAATTCAGTTTTCCAGATTTCTAGCTACTTAAAACAAAGAAAGATCACACACAATCACATACATTCATATAGTCACCACACTCGCAAACGGGACACGTGTATAAACGTGCACACAGACACACACTTAGCACATGCGCACAGATGCGAACGAACACCCCCTTTGAACCTGAGCTGCACACGGGCTACAGCGAGGGTCAAGAGGCCCTGCTGCATATCTGTTCTATGTCATTCATCTCTTTGGGGCAATCTGCAGAAAGGATGAGAGGTGAGTCTTGAGTCACCACGACATCATCTTCAATCCGTACACCAAGACCACGAAACTTCTCTGGGGCATCTCTGTCATCCTCTGGAATATAAATGCCTGAAAAGTAGAAAAAAGAATGTGTTGCTCATAAACAGCAATAACTGGATGATTTGGGATAAATAAGTTAACCTCTCTGTGTTACAATTCATCTGTAGACTTGGGATCCTAGAATTTTGGATATTAAATGAGAGAATACACATAAAAGTGTGTGGCACATAATGGTCAAAAAATGTTGTCTATCATTGCTAGAACTAGTGCTATAGTTTTGTGTACCAGACTACAAGCTCCACGTGACTGTGATAATGTGAACATGATTCTGTCATATTCTAGTGGTTTAAGCAGGCCACCAAAGTTACTTTTGAGTAGGTCAATATATGCTGGGAACCAGTAGATAATATAAATGCATTCTTTCCCTGCTGAACTGTCCCCTGGGAAAAGGGAACTTGGCTAAAATAAGGATATAAAGTATTTTAAAATACATGAAAAACACTTATTTTGAGATCATTAGCCTGAACAACCATAAGCTGCAGAAATACTCAAATAAGCTCTTTCAAATAAGCCGTAAATATAACTGATGTACACAATGTAGAGTAAGAGAGAAACAGGAAGACCTTAACAAACATTTGGACAATTCTAAGAGTCCAAGCTACCCTTTCTAATCATGAAGTAAGATAAAAACAGGTCTTTTGGTATGTAAGAAACTGGAAACTTCCTCCACTATACTCACAGATACTGCCCTATCTGTAAAATGAAAAAGATCAGTGAAGGAAAATGTATTCGAAGTCTAAGGAAACACCCATGCACCAACCCGGCTTTACCGAATAGTACATAAAGCCACAGATAGCAACGCGTGACTGGGTAGTATAAAGTCGGGTCTCAATGGTAATTTATAAAATTTAGAGATGAAAACAATTGAAATCTATAGTTGAAATACATTTTCTTGACAAAAACAGAATTATCATTTAAATATCACTCTTGGGGGGCACCTGAGTGGTTTAGTCAGTTAAGTGTCCAACTTCAGCTCAGGTCAAGATCTCATGGCTCATGAATGTGAGCCTGTACTGGGCTCTGCGCTGAAAGCTCAGAGCCTGAAGTCTGTTTAGGAGTCTGTGTCTCCAGCTCTCTTTGTCCCTTTCCTGCTCATGCTCTGTCTCTCTCAAAAATAAACATTAAAAATTTTTTTTTGGGGGAGGGGGGGCGCTGGGTGGCTCAGTCAGTTACGCATCTGCCTTCAGCTCAGGTCATGATCTCGTGGTTTGTGGATTCAAGTCCTACATTGGGCTCTCTGCTTTCCATGCAGACCCTGCTTTGGATCCTCTGTTCCCTTCTTTCTCTGCTCCCTCCTCTCTCAAACACACACATTTTTTAAAAATCTTGGGGCGCCTGAGTGGCTCAGTGGGTTGAGTATCTGACTCTTGATTTTGACTCAGGTCATGATCCCAGACTTGTAGGATCAGGCCCCACGGGCTCTGCACTGAGCATGAAGGCTGCTTAAGGTTCTCTGGTTCTGTCTCTCTGTGTGTCTCTCTCTCCCTCCTCTCCCCTGTTCTTTGTTTGTCTCTCTCTCTCCAATTAAAAAAAAAAACAACCCCAAATTCCTCTTGTAACATCAATCCTTACACTCTACTGTGACTACCACTTTCCTGCGGAATTCTGCCCGCTGCCCAGGATGGTTCAAGCTGGGGAACCATTAGATTGCCAGATTTCCCTCAAGCTCGGGAGAAAGGACCTGGATACTAAGAAGTAGAGCAGCTCTCTGCAGGAAAGCACCTGCGGCTTCAGAGGTGTGAGCATCCCACCACTACACAGGAGATGAGTAGAAACTGTCCCTGAGAAAGGCAGGGTTTAAAAAAAGATTTATTTCCTAATATCTACTTATAGAAAGTAGTCCCCATCTGTTGTTTACTGGAGAAGTCAAATTAAACAAATTGTGTGATGTTAAATAAGAAAGCTCATGGAAAATCTAAAATAAAATTCCCTTTTACACTGAAGAGATCCATTTTCCTGTCTCTCCGAATTTAATTATGTTGGTTTAGGTAAAAATAAGCAACATTTACTTTTCCATCTGATACTATCATGTGTCCCAAGGGATCAGAGCCTGCACCCGCCCTTACCTGGCTCCACTGTGATTACCATACCAGGCTGTAGAGGGAGGGAACGGGGCATGTCAGGAGTGTCATGGACATCCATCCCGAGGTAATGGCCAACATGATGAGGGCAATATTTTCGAGCAGCCTGGAAAAAAATCACCACAGTGTTATCAGAGCAATGACCCCTTAAGGGGAAAGCTGGGCATGTATCAATCAGTGAGCTACGTGTTAATACCTCCCCCATGGTTCTGCCTCTTAGGTTTAACCTGTCCTCTAGTTAATGCTTAAGAGACCCAATAAACAGCTGCCTGTTGAATGTAATTCTGCAGATGGCATTTGAATGCATCCAAGTTTCCATTCCCACTATTTGACATACTACAGACATGCTAACTTGGGTAACCCCAGCAGTGACTATGGCAAATCAGAGTCTCTTTTCTTAGGGGAGGGAAGAGGATTATGTTAGAATAGTTCTCTCCTCAATGTTCACAAGTCCCTCTCAGAAAGCCTACTCTGGAGACCCTGAGTATCTCATAGCAACTTGTGGAGTAGGCATAGAACATTAAATTAACACAGTAATCATTAGGCATTTACCGGCTTGGATATTCCTATCTGTTAATTAGACTTGTTGGCTTCAGCAGGAGGAATTGATCGTGTCTTTCCTATTGATAAAAGAAACCCTGGCAGCCTAAACTTGGAGATGAGAGGCCGTAATGGTCTGTTTGGCGTGGCCACCTGGCATCTTAATTTAGTGCTAAGGTTTTACATTTTTACTGAATATCATTACATTTTGGATACAGATGAAGTTCACTCAAGATGTGGGTGGCCCTTGGAAATATTGTTAGTCTCACCAATGTCACCGAAGCAAGACAACCTCCCCCATGATTTCTACTTTTCAAAATTACCACAAAAAGGCTTGAGAGGTAACCTTTTATCCTTTCTGTGTCCTTTCCCACCCTGTCTGCACCAGCTTTCATTTTATGTTTTCTGCCGACGGAGCTACTTATATAGGATGCAACGAACTAGAATGTGCTGCCATCTTCTGGAAGAAGTAAGTACTGACTCCTTTTGTTTTAATCCATGTTCAATCTAAATCCCTCTTCTAGATGAAGAATCAGAAATACCATTTCTAAATCTAATTAGTTTTCTATAGGATGAAAACCCAGCAGCACATCAGGTGTTCTTGAGAGCCGGGGTCAAAAGAGGGGCCATACCTTGAAGGCATTATTTTCCTTAATGTTCTTCACGATACCCAACTCCTTAAGCTTCTGGGCTATGAGTGTCAGCATTAAGCTGTAGATGTTCTCCAAGCTTGTCCCAGGGGAGCAGAGGGTCAGACAATCTCTCTGTATCTCTAGAACAGCTTCATAGAGTTCTGCCTGAGGTGCTGTGAACCTGGGGACAGGAAAACCAAAGAACTCACATTTGGAACAATCTGATTATGCAGCAGGAAGTTTGCCTCTAGGTTTGATTAGGAAAAACTCCAAGATGATGGGACACCGTTGATACTTAATCAGTATCAATGTATCAGTACTGACAGGACCTTAATTGTGCCCTAGACTCTCAACAGGAAGAATAACTCTTCGAGCTAGGACAGCAACAGCCTCTCCTTCAAATGATCAACAGATATAAATGGGGTGGGGCTACAGATACACTCAGCCATGAATACAGTTGGAGGGCTAGACCAGGTTCAACTTGATCCATTCCCCCCCTTTTTTTTAACCACTGAAAACGAAACAAAACCAACCTCAAAAAACAAAGGGTACTTGGGTGACTCAGTTCATTAACCATCTGACTCCTGATTTTGGCTCAGGTTATGATCTCACAGTTCATGAGTTCGAGCTCCAGGTTGGGCTCACGCGCTGTTGGCGTGGAACCTGCTTGAGATTCTCTCTCCCCCCCTTTCTCTGCTCCTTCCCTACTCATACATGCTCTCTTTCTTTCAAAATGAACGAACATTTAAAAAACAAAAGCAGGGGCGCCTGGGTGGCTTAGTCAGTTAAGCGTCTGACTTTCGCTTAGGTCATGATCTCCCGGTTTGTGGGGTTGGGTTCGAGCCCCGCGTCAGGCTCTGTGCTGACTGCCAGCTCAGAGCCTGGAGCCTATTTCAGAGTCTCTGTCTCCCTCTCTCTCTGACCCTCCCCTGCTCACGCTGTCTCTCTCTCTCTCTCTCCTAGAAATAAATAAAAATAATAAAAATAAAAAAATAAAATAAAATGTATAAAAAACAAACAAAAGCAAACAAAGCCTAGGAATCCACTTCTTGTAGGTAAAGCCTGTGTCATGAGATAAACTATTAGATACTCTAGCTACTAAGTGTCCTTAGAATAATAATTTCTTCAGCAATCATGGGGAAAAACAAGAAAAAATTAAGCTGGTGGGATATGGTATGTATTTTCTACACTGCTGATGGGGAGTGTAAATTAGTACAGCCAATTAAATCAAAGGTTTTAATAAATTTATTCATAAAATTCGAGCTTGTAATTCTGCTTTAAGAATCCATCCTAAGAATATTTGAAATTCAAAAAAAACCCTGAATATATAAAAATGTTCATTGTGGTTTATAATTATAGTAGATAAACTTGAAATGTCCCTTATTAAGAATGGTTAAATATAAGAATATAATGGGTATAATGAACACCTATATACCCATCCCCAAATGAGCCATTAGCAACATGTTATATTTGTGTCTCTATGAGGGTACCCACACTCCAACCCACCACAGTATTTCTAAAGAGCTTTTAACAGTTATTATTTATTTATTCATTCATTCATTCATTTTTATTTATTTGTGTGTGTGTGTGAGAGAGAGAGAGAGAGAGAGTGAGGGAGTGCACCCACGCAGTAGGTGAGAGTAGGGCAGAGCCAGAGAGAGAATCCAAAGGAGGCTCCAACTGACGCAGGGCTTGAATTAACTAACTCATGAGATCATGACTGGAGCCAAATGGAACCAAGAGTCAGTGCTTAACAAACTGAGCCATCAGGCACTTCTTAACAATTCTTTTTTTTAAAGTTTATTTTGAAAGAGACAAAGAGCAAGCTGGGGAGGGGCAGAGAGAGGCAGAGAGAGAATCCCAAGCAGAACCCACACTGCCAGCAGTGAGCCTGATGCGAGGCTTGAATCAGGAATCTTGAGATCATCACCTGAGCCAAAGTAGGAAGCTTAACCAACTGAGCCACCCAGGTGCCCCTGAGCTCATACTGATATTTCAATTAAAATTTGAGACTACAGAACTTCTATGTAACTTCTCTATATTTCAGTTGCCTTCTTTCTTTTCGGTTCTTAGGACACAAGGAGGACAGAATTAAAATCATCTTTTACCCTTTTGTTTTATATCTCTCTCTCTTTTTTTTTTAATGTTTTATTTATTTCTAGGAGAGAGAGAGACAGCATGAGCAGGGGAGGGTCAGAGAGAGAGGGAGTCACAGACTAAAACAGGCTCCAGGCTTTGAGCTGGCAGTCAGCACAGAGCCCGACGCGGGGCTTGAACCCACGAACCGTGAGATCATGACCTAAGCGAAAGTCGGACGCTTAACCGACTAAGCCACCCAGGCGCCCCAATATATCTCTTTGTTTTTTATTAACTTTGTAGGAGATTACCCAAGATACTTTTATTGCTTACTTTATGTGAAATTAATTTTCCTGAACTTTTAGAATGAGGCAGAATTTAGGAAAGATTTTTTAGCATCACAGGGCATACTCTTGTTTTGGTGCAGTGATAGACAATATGGCAGCTTGCTTTCAATTCCGCTCCCACTCTTTCTTTGATTTGGGTATCTCATTCCTTTCTCTTGTCCCTAACTTGTTCAATTTTGATTCTACTTCCAGCAGTTTCTCCTTAGTGCGAGAAGGGAGCACAGGAAGAGGCCTCAAACTTCCTCGGGCCTCTGGAGCAGCAAATCTTTCCCGTTTCCGTTTCTGTCCTCGAACTGGCTCATCATCCTTTCCAGTGAATAGCTGTTGGTTATTTGGGAGTTCCTTTGTTCTCAAGCACGTCAGATAGCTTCTTCCACTACAGTTGCTTCCTTCTTCTTCCTTCTACACAGATAGTGATACCATCCGGGCCTTGTGGCTGTACAGAGTATGTTCGTAACTGTTTGTATTCTTAGGTTGAGGCGATACCCTATCACCCAGTGTTTGGTTTTGCTACCTAGTTGCTCTACTGTTATCTGACAATTTGGACAGAAAAACCATGACTTTGCTGCCATCTCCCCAGAATCCCTGTTCTTACTTCTTACCGAAACTCTCAATCTGTTCACTCAATGTACTTATATTTGTTCTTTTAACTCTTTGAACACATCTATAATAGCTGCTTTTTTTTTTTATAATTTTTTTTTTAATGTTTTATTTATTTCTAGGAGAGACAGAGAGAGACAGCGTGAGCAGGGGAGGGTCAGAGAGAGAGGGAGTCACAGACTGAAAAAGGCTCCAGGCTCTGAGCTGGCAGTCAGCACAGAGCCCAACGCAGGGCCCGAACCCACAAACCGCGAGATCATGACCTAAGCGAAAGTCGGATGCTTAACCGACTAAGCCACCCAGGCGCCCCAATAATAGCTGCTTTAAAATGCTTGTCTGCTCATTGAAATTTTAGGGTTATTCAAGACTTGCTTTTATTGGCTGTATTTTTCTAAATTATGGTCATTTTGATTCTTTTCCTGATTCTTCTCATGTCTAGTGATTTTTTTAAACTGAATACTGGAATTACTTTTGCAATCAGAAAATAAAAACTTCAAATTTATTTATTTTTATTTTAAAATGTTTATTTTTGAGAAAGAGAGTGGGAGCTGGGGAGGGGCAGAAGGGGTAGGGGACAGAGGATCTGAAGCTGGCTCTGCTCTGACGGCAGTGAGTCTGATGCGGGGATCTAACTCACCAACTGTGAGATCATGACAGGAGCCAAAGTTGGACACTCAACAGACGGAGCCATCCAGGTACCCCTATTTATTTAATTTTAAATTAATTAATTTTTTATTAAAAAAATGTTTATTTTGAGTGTGAGTGGGAGAGGGGTTAGGAGAGGCAGAGAGAGGTAAAGAGAGAGAGAGAATCTCAGGCAGGCTCTGCATTGTCAGCACAGAGCCTTATGTGGGGCTTGATCTCATGATCCATGACCTGAGCCAAAATCAAGAGTCAGATACTTAATCCACTGAGCCACTCAGGTGCCCCTTAATTTTTTTTTAAAGATTGTATTTTTAAGTAATCTCTACACCCAGCATGGGGCTTGAACTTACAACCCTGAGATCAAGAGTTGTATGCTCTACTGACTGAGCCAGCCACGCACTCCTCAAATTTCTTTCTTTATTAAAAAAAATTTTTTTTAATGTTTATTTTTGAGAGAGAGAGAGATACAGAGACACAGCATGAGCAAGGGAGGGGCAGAGAGAGAGGGAGCTACAGAATCTGAAACAGGCTCCAGGCTCTGAGCTGTCAGCACACAGCCCGATGTGTGGCTTGAACTCACAAACTGCGAGATCATGACCTAAGCCAAAGTCAGACGCTAAACTGACTGAGCCACCCAGGCACTCCATCCTCAAATTTATTTTTAAAAAATGTGAACGTTAACTAGATGTGTTAACTAGGTGTGTCTAGGTGTCTGATCCTGTGTTGTGATAAATAAAGCACGCTTAGAAAGTAATCAGGCCCTTTGCAAAGGCAGTTAACTTGAGCTAGAGGGGATGAATATATTTCTTTAGTCCTTTATTCCTAATATACCCATATTCCAACTCATACTCTTAAAAAGAAGTGGGATCTATACAAGTCCTACCTGCCATTGACAGGCCAGGTCCGGGTTATGTCACTCACATAACACGACGACTCACAGCCTCCATCAAGCAGCACCATCTCCCCATCCTGCAACAAAAGTGAGATATGTCAACATAGGGGACCTATGACAGTCAGCTCTTTCTTCTAATTTAAGCTCTCTATGCCTTTCATTTTATATATGTATTTAAAAAGCTAACTTGAAGGAGACTAATCTTCTGTGGTTCTTTCTCACAAGAAACAGCATCTCAATTTTTCAAATGAATTCACATTGATTCAAGAAAGGTGCCACTGCAGAGTAGTACAGAGGCTCTGGAACCACACGCTTAGCTCATCATAAATGTTACCACTATCACTATTATTTTTAAAAAGCCTATGTAAGTTGGTATCCAGGGCCTTATTCAAATACAATTACCCTTAACCATTTAACTTTAGAATATCTCTTCCCCATTTGCTCCCTGTCAAAATAAATGTGAAGAAAGAAGAAAACTTTGGGTATATCCCTACCTTACTTCTTGTCATGTTATATTGAAATTATTCATGTCCTTGAAGACAGGGAATCTTATTCATATATAAATAAGCACACAACTTGGCATGTGGTAGAATAATGGACGAATGAGTATATATATGTATATATGTGAATATATATATATATGTATATATATAGAATAGCAACTTTGAAGAATGGATGTGGTTTTTGTTTCCAGCAAAATGTCAGAATATATTTCTTGCTAGGAAACAACTAGATCCTGGGTCAAAAATACATTTTATGAAAGGCTGACATTACATAATGTAAGAGATGTCCTAAAGACATTTTCTCTCTTGAAAAAAAGACACTCCAGAACTAGAGCTGAATGTAGTGATAAGGTAAGTGGTACAGTACATATAGAAAAGGAGATGTTGCCCTGAGGTCTCGCAGCAAAGTGGGGAAAATGAGCCGGACATTTTTGCATTAATCTAGGATGCTCAGAGGGGATACAAGAGTCCCAGGGTACTAGGACCCACTTGACTTCTGGCAAAACCATAATCAAACAGCCTTTGGAAGAAATTTCCCCCAAATTTCGGCTGGCATGATTTCCAAGAAATAATATCGAGCAAATGTGAGCTCACAAGCAAAGGCTGTCAAGCACTTGAGGTAGGTGACCGTGCCTGAGACTCAGCAGGAAAAACAAACACCAAATTTAGATCTTCCAAGACTTCAGGTAAGGGAATGATTAGAGATGGAAGGGCTATTATGAAATCCTTAAAGGGATAAAGTATGGAATCACAAAGATGAATAAGCAACAAGAGATCATCAGTTCTGCTGATTTGAAAGGGACCAAAAGGAAATAAAAACAACTGCTGAAGTCCATCACCCAGGGGATGGCTGAAGATTAGACAAATGGAGGGGAAAAAAAAACTAGTTTCGTGGAAGACAGACATACCCAAGGCTCCAAAAATATGACAGAGAGAGACAAGGCAAAAATAAACATGAAAGTTAGCTTACTGAGACCAGACAGAGGTGTAACATACATCCCACTGAGATCACGGAAGGAGTGGATAGAGAGAATGTAGGAGAGATGATATCTATGCCAGGGTCTAAGGATTTCCTGGAACTGATGAAGACACAAAGGCACAGATTCCAGAGGGAGAAGGGATCATAATGACGACATGTGAAAACAAATATGTTCTTAGACACATGATAAAACAGAAATACCAAAGAAAAAGAAATCTTAAAAGTAGCCAAAACAAAAAGAGGTATCTCAGAAGGAAGGAATGACAATTATTGTTCTTGTTTGTTTGTTTGTTTTTAATCTGCAACACTGGAAGTCAAGAGAACGGGGAATGATACACTACAGGTGATGACTGAAAAGAAGCAAGGACAGTTTCCTTGGTACAGCCTCCATCAAGAATTGAGAATGAAATAAAGATATTTTGGCTACACAAACAGAAAATTTTCTCAGCAACAGACCATCTAAAGGATTTTCTTCAGGCTGAAGGAAGGTGATCCCAGGAGGGCCGTCGAAGATGTGAGAAGGAAAGGTGAACATGCACATAAATCAAAACAAACCTGCTTCTGATGGTTGTAGAGAGCTGTGGTGAGCTTAGAGGCAGAACCACAAGGCAGCCTGCTCTCCCAGACCCCCCACCAGTACCCCGCGTTTCTCACAGCTTGCTGAGGATCTTGCCCCCTGACTTCACCAGAAGGGGCCCTTGTAAACTTTCAGATAACCAAAGCAAGACCATGACCTAGAAGTTCTCAACTTCTCTTCTCTTGGGCCAATTTATCTAATAATGGCAATACTCTTCTCTCCCTGTACAGTGACACTGGTGCTTATTCTCCAGTTTTTCAAGAACGAACACTATATTGTTTAGGAATAGACACACTGGTGGTAAAATTATGAAAACAAACTAAAATGGATTAAAACAAAAGCCAAGACGTTCTGTAGAAGACAAAGGGGTAGAAGACAGTTAAGATGTGCTTGATATTGCCCAGGGGTATTGTTCATAATGGTAAAAACCTGGAAATGATAAAAATGTCCACCTAATGGATATTTATCACATTAATAAATTAAAACCAAGAAAGCTTTATATTTATTAATCCACTTAAAAATGACAATAAACCTATTACATGTTAAGATAAATAGTGTTTTTAATGAAAAGTAATCATTTTTCTAAATAAAAATGGTTAGAAATGTGGCACTGTTTACATTTTTACAAATCTCTTTGTCTAGCATAACAAAAAATAGCTAGAATTGCATATCTGCTTTTGCCTTCAATTTGGTATGATGTTGATGTCATAAAGGCTCTAGAGTCCATCCCCGTACACTGGAGAGAATGAGAGTGAAAAAGACAAATAAGGTCTGAGTATTCTTATGAAAATATATTTAACCTCACAGACCACACTTTAACTGTTCTACACTAGGCCAAACCACAGTAGCATGCTACAACATACTGTTATATGAAAAAAATGCAGATGTAATATTTGAAATCTATAAAGTTCAAACATGACCAAAACCAAACTCTGTTAAACTCTATTATTCATTAGTAATAAAATAAAATGAAAAGCAAAGAAATGATGACCATCAAAATCAGGAGAGTGGTTATCCCATCAGGGAGGAAAGAAGTTATCACTGGGAAGAACCACATGGTAGAAAAGCTTTTTTTAGGGGGGGAGGGCTAGTAATGTCCTGTTTCAGGCATTCACTAACTTTTTCTGTAAAGGGCTATATAGTAAATATTTTTTACTTTGTGAACCATACTGTTTCTGGTGCAACTTCTCAACTCTGCCATTGAGGGAAGAAAGCAGGAAAGGCTGTATTCCAATAAAACTTTATTCACAAAACATAGTGGCAGGCTGGATTTGGCCTAGAGAGGTGTAGCTTGCCAAGTATGGACGTGGGTAATGGTTACATGGGTGTTCATTTTATAATTACTTATTAAACTGTTCCTTTCAGTGTTAAGTACTTTACCAGTAGTCACATTTTATAATAAGAAATGTTAAAAAAAACAAAACAGAAGGTTTTAGTACATTAATGAAATTGAATCAGTAGTTTAAAAAAGTCTACAAAGGAAAATATCAGGCCCATATAGTTCTACAGGGATATTCTATCCAATTTTCAAAAGAAAAATTAAGTTATTTCACAATATTAAGAAAGAAACTAACTCATTTGATATGCAAATCAGAAAGACAGTATGATAAAAATAAAACAATTACATTCATGAACACAGATTATTATATCCCAAACAACACATCAGCAAGTTGAAAATAGCAGTACTACAGATAAAAAAAAAGATGCTTAATGTCACTGGTAATTAAAGTAATGGAAATTAAGACCACAATGAGATCCTGTTTTATACCAATTAGAATGGTAGAAGTTAAGAAGTCTGATAACATCAAAGGATAGAGGATGTGGTCAACAGAATTACATGCCACTGATAGGAGTATAAACAGATAAAAATGCTTGGGAAAAAAATTTGTATTATCTTATCACAATAAGTATCATCTTATGAATAAAATAAAAAGTTCCCCCAAACTACATATAGCAGTATATAATTTTTATGTAGTTCACAAACAAGCAGAACTAACTAACATTGTTTGGGAAATCATACATGTGTGATACAACTACATAAAAAAAAAAAATCAAGGGAATGACAAACGAAAATTTAGGATACCAATTAGTTACCTCTGGGAGGGAGGCTTTAGGATAGCAGATTATAAAGATACATATAGTATTGGTAATGTTCTAGCTCTTGAACTGAGTGATCGGTTCATGGGTATTCATTTAAAAAACATGCAGTATACTTCACGTTTGCTATATTTATTCTTTTGAAATTACTGAAAATTAAAATAGACAATTAAAAGTGGACTTAATAAAGGCATATACAATCTTTACTTGTATAGTCACTTGGGGAGAAAACTATACAAGATAAGCTACCTCACAGCTAATAACGTACTCTTAAAATCTGTCTGCTCCCAAAATATGCTTGGTCCACTGTTCCCACAAGTCCATTCAGAAGGAGTGTTATTTAAAAAAAAAAAAATGAGCGGAGGCTTTAGGGTAGAATTCTCAGCTCTGCTCTAATGAACTGCCTAATTTTTAAAGTTTATTTTCCCCATCTGTTAAACAGATGTCAATAATTGCTCCTATCTCACAGTACTAATGTGAGGATCAAATGAGATAATGTTAGTTAAGATCATTTTTTAAACAATAAAGTGCTTTGTAAGTGGCACCATAGGAAGAGGCACTGAAGGGCATTTTGTGTACCTTGATGAGCTGATTATTCTTCACATAGTGCAAAGTGTTTGACCGATTACCTCCAGCAACCACAGGTGGGTAGGCTAAGATGTCTGCACCGCGGGCCCGGCATTCAAATTCGAACTGAAAAACAAGAGCCAAGCATGACGATGAGTATGACTGAAGACAGGATTTCCTCCCTTAACAGTCTGCCCCTCCATTCAAGTACTTCTCCGTCATTCTGGAAAAATTAGTTATCAAATCTAACCAAACTTCTTATGCTTCCATTTCAGTCTATTTAAAAAAATTTTTTTACATTTATTTATTTTTGAGAGACAAAGAGTGACAGAGCACAAGTGGAGTAGGGCCAGAGATAGGAGACACAGAACATGAAGCAGGCTCCAGGCTCTGAGCTGTCAGCACAGGGCCCGATATGGGGCTCGAACTCCCAAACTGTGAGATCATGACCTGAGCCGAAGTCGGACGCTCAACTGACTGAGCCACCCAGGCGCCCCGATTTCAGTCTACTTTTTATTCCCCACTCCAAACCAGTTATTTGGCCCTATTATTATGTCTGCGTAGTTGCTCTGAATGCTCCAAATTTCCTATGATTTTCAAATTAAGTCCAGAAGAGAACACAGAAAACTTATGATCAAGGCTGAGACATATGGTGAAGTAAAGTTGCTATTTTTCATTCTTTTTTTTTAAATGTTTATTTATTTTTGAGAGAGAGAGAGAATGTGTGCACGCATGCACACACAAGTGGGGAAGGGGAAGAGAGAGGGGGACACAGAATCTGAAGCAGGCTCTGGGCTCCAAGCTGTCAGCACAAAGCCTGACGTTGGGCTCGAACTCACAAGCTCTGAGATCATGAGCTGAGCTGAAGTCAGATGGTTAACTGAGTGAGCCATCCAGGCGCCCCACTATTTTTTATTCTTTTTTTTTTTTAATTTTTTTTATTTCTAGGAGAGAGAGAGAGAGACAGTGTGAGCAGGGGAGGGTCAGAGAGAGAGGGAGTCACAGACTCTGAAACAGGCTCCAGGCTCTGAGCTGGCAGTCAGCACAGAGCCCGACGCGGGGCTCGAACCCACGAACCGCGAGATCATGACCCAAGTGAAAGTCGGACGTTTAACCGACTAAGCCACCCAGGCGCCCCTATTTTTAATTCTTAATCTAGATAAATATTAGAATACGGGTTGCATTTTTAATAACATTAATGTATTACTAATTTCAACTTTTCAAATAGCTACCAAACTACATATGCTGGAAAAGTGAAAAAGGGTGGTAGGCAATCGTAAATTCTACCAATTTCACTTTGTCCTGGGATGAAGCACCCCCTCCTCTCTCCAGCACTACTCAGATTCTGCTCCTGTTTACTCAAACGGTATTCTCAGCTCACAACTTGTCTTTGCTTCTTCATGTGTTCTACTTTGCAATTTTCTTCATTTAATTGCAGGTCTGCGTATTTTAGACACATCTAATAAATTTTCAGTGACATTTAAGAACCAAATCCTCTCCACTGGTATCCTGGTCACTTCCATGAAAGCCAACTAGATGCCATCTGCAAATGAACTACTTACTATTTCTGCCTCCAAAAAAACCTTTCCAATCTTTTGCGGCTCACCTTAGCATAGAGAAAGCCTTCTTCCACAGGAGCTTTACTGGCGAACATGGTTTCTATGAAAGCCTGTAGAATGGAGGATGAGAAGAACAGTCTCATTTTAACTGTTGCTTATTCAAACATTCAAAACACTAGAGCTCAAGTGAAAAGCACCCTTTTCCCCAATTTTGTTGACATGAGGTTGTGACTTCGTGAGCATGATAATATACATTTCTGAAGAGTAAACTATTGCTTTTAGGACTATGTGACTGATGAGATTTAGTGGAAGGGCACCCAACTATCACACTCAGAATATACACTGTATGCTAGAATACGCTACATGGGAACACATTTTGTCATTTCTGCCTAGAAATATATGAAATGGATTGAACGGTCCAGTCTACAGCAAGGTTCCCCAACCTCTGCACTATTGCTGACATTTTGGACTAGTTAACTCTATGTTGTGGCGGGGTGGGGGTGGGGGGTGCAGAGGGACTGTCCTATTCAATGTAGGATGCCAGCAGCACTTCCCAACTGTGACAACCAGGAATTGGTAAATATCCCGAGGGACAAAACTACCCCAAGTTCAGAGCCACGTATAGTACAAGTACTTTAATTATTCCTCTGTAGTAGCCACAGTACATTGTATATTTTCTATTTTTATGAATATATATGGTTATATTGACCACTTACTATACTTTATGCCAAAAAAGATTTAGATTAGCTTACATGGATCCACAAAATACAACAAGATGCATAAATCCGTGGTAGTTAAAAAAAAAAAAAAAAACAACAAGCCTTAAGGGGAATGGAGCTCAACAAAATAATGCATACCATAATGACCTTCGTGATGACAATAGCAACTATGGATAGACCACAAATATAACTGACTTTTCTCGCAGCCACTGTGCAAAGGGAAACTGTCAGCTCTATTTCCCATGTCTTTGGGATGAAAACAAATCAGATGCACAGAGATAGGACTATATGATACCACAACTAGAAAGGAATTTCCCTTGACTTGCTCTGTTCTAACAGCGAAGGCAATGTGGGAAGGGATGTTTTTAATAACATTTCTCTAAATACAAGGCAATGACATCACCACAGAGGAGCCCAATGGAGGAAAGTGAGAGGGATGACACTGGAAACAGTTGCAAGGCTTTTGCACCTTTTTTCATCCTGATCTTCTTTCAAATTTGGAAGTTTTCCTTCCTTTTCTATTTTCTGGAATAATTTGAGAAGGATAAGCATTAACTCTTTTTCAAATGTTTGGTACAATTTGCCTGTGAAGCCGTCTGGTCCTAAACTTTTGTTTGTTGGGAGTTTTTATGATTACTGATTCAATTTCTTTGCTGTTAATCAGTCTGTTTAAATTTTCTATTTCCTCACATTTCAGTTTTGGTAGATTACATGTTTCTAGGAATTTATCCATTTCTTGTAGGTTGTCCAATTTGTTGGCATATTGTTTTTCACAACATTCTCTTATGATTGTATTTCTCAACTGTTTGTTATTTCTCCTCTCTCATTTGTGATTTCATCTGAGTCCTTTCTCTTTTTTTCTTGAGAAGGCTGGCTAGAGCTTTATCAATTTTATTGATTTTTTTCCTCAAAGAACTAGCTCCTGGCTTCATTAATCTGTTTTTTTGTTTTGTTTTGATTTTCTTATTTTATTTTTTTTGTTGTTGCTGTTTCTGTATCATTTATTCCTGCTCTAGTTTTTAGGTGTAAGGTTAGGTTGTTTGAGATTTTACTTGCTTCTTGAGGTAGGCCTGCATCACTATAAACTTCCTTTTTAGGACTGCTTTTGCTGCATCCAAAAGGTTTTGAAATGTTGTGTTTTCATTTTCATTTGTTTCCATGTACTTTTTTATTTCTTCTTTTATTTCCTGGTTGACTCATTCATTGTTTACTGGCATGTTATTTAGGCTCCATGCATATGTGGTCTTTTCAGATTTTTTCTGGTGATTGACTTATAGTTTCATAGCACTATAGTCAGAAAATATGCATGGTATGTATGACTTTGATCTTTTAGAATTTGTTGAGGCTTGTTCTGTGGTCTAATATGTGATCTGTTCTGGAGAATATTCCACATGCACTTGAAAAGAATGTGTATTCTGCTGTTTTAGGATAGAATGTCTGAATATATCTGTTAAATCCATCTGGTCCAGTATGTCATTCAAAGCCACTGTTTCCTTGTTGATTTTCTATTTAGATGATCTGTCTATTGATGTAAGTGGGTGTTAAAGTCCCTCTTATTGTATTATTATCAATTACTTCTTTGTTATTAACTTTTATGTATTTGGGTGCTCCAATGTTGGGGTGCATAAATATTTATAGTTGTTATATCTTCTTGTTAGATTGTCCAGTTTATTATTATGTAATGTCCTTTGTCTCTTGTTACAGTTGTTGTTTTAAAGTCCATTTTGTCTGATACAAGTATTGCTACTCTAGCTTTCCTTTTACACCATTTGTATGACAACTATTTCTCCATCCCCTCACTTTCAATCTGCAGGTGTCTTTAGGTCTAAAATGAGTTTTCCATAGGCAATACATAGATGCCTTGTTTTTAAATTCATTCTTTCACCCAATGTCTTTTTTTTTAATGTTTATATTTTTTAAAAGTTTATTTATTTTGAGAGAGATAGACAGCGGGAGTGGATGGAGGAACAGAGAGAGGGAAAAATCCCAAGCAGCCTCCTCACTGTTAGTGCCGAGTCCAACCAGGGCTTGATCCTCCAAAAGAAACCAAGAGATCATGACCTGAGGTAAAATCAAGAGTCAGCTGCTTAACCCACCCAGGTGCCCATCTCCCCAACTTTTTTTTGTAAGAATTTAAGTAGTCTCCACACTTAACGAGGGGCTCAAACTCACAACCCTGAGATCAAGAGTCACACGCTCCACCAACTGAGTCAGCCAGGCATCCTTACCCTATGTCTTCTGATTGGAGCATTTAGTCCATTTATATTCAAAGTAATTATTGGTAGATACATATTTACTGACATTTTATTTGTGGTTGTTTCTTAAGATTTCTTCTAACCCTTTCTTGTCTTTCTTTCATGGTTTGCTGGTTTTCTTTAGTGATATATTTGGACTTCTTTCTCTTTACTCTTTGCACAGTTATTAGTGGTTTCTGACTTGTGGTACCATTAGGTTTGTATATAACCTCTTCTGCATAGAGCAAGCAGTCTATGGAAGCTGATGATCATTTAAGTTTGAACCCGTTCTTTACTCCTCTCCTCCCCATGTTTTTGGAACATGGTGTCGTATCTGACATCCTTTTACTTTGAGAGTCCCTTGACCGATTTTTTACAGAAATATTCATTTTTACTGCATTTGTGTTTCCTACCTTCATACTGTCATTTTTGGTTTTTCCTTTCCACTCACTTCCCCTTCAGTATTTCTAGTAAGACTGGTTTAGTGGTCACGAACTCCTTTAGTTTCTGTTTGTGAAACTCTTTATCTCTCCTCTATTCTGAAGATAGCCTTCCTGCATATTCTTGGCTGCAAGTTTCTTCTATTCATCACTTTGAATACATCATGCTATTCCTTTCTGGGTTGGAAAGCTTCAGCTAAAAAAAATCTGCTGACAGTTGGATGGGATTTCCTTTGTATGTGACTCTCTCCTTTTGTCTTGCTGCTTTTATCTATTTATTTTTTATTTACATTTTATTTTACAGAGAGAGCTTGTGTAGGAGACAGCAGGGGAGAAGGGCAGAGGGAGGAGAAGACAGAGAGAGAGAGAGAGAGAGAGAGTATGAATCTCAGGTAGGCTCCATGCTGGGTGTGGAGCCAGGTGCAGTCCTTGTTTCAATAACCCTAGGATCATGACCTGAGCTGAAATCAAGAGTTGGTCACTCAACCAACTGAGCTACTCAGGCATCTGTCTTGCTGCTTTTAATATTTTTTCTTAATCACTATATTTGGCTTTATGTATGTATGTATATACTTATTTACTTATTTATTTCTTTACTTAAGCAATCTCTACACCCAATATGGGGCTCAAACTCATGACCCCTGAGATCAAGAGCCACACGCTCTACTGACTGAGCCAGCCAGGCACCCCTGTATTTTGTCATTTTAATTACCATATGTCTTGGTGTGGCTTTTCTTCTGTTGATTTTGTTGGGGGTTCTCTGTGCTTCTTGGATCTGCATATCTGTTTCCTTCCCCAGATTAGGGAAGTCTTTAGTTATTATTTCTTCAAATAAATGCTCTGTCCCCTTTTCCGTTCTTCTTCTGGGACTCTTATAATACAAATGTTATTATGTTTGATGGAGTCACTGAGTTCCCTAAGTCTATTCTCATTTTGCATAATTCTTTTCTCTCTCTTTTGTTCAGCTTGATTACTTTCTATTAATTACTCTGTCTTCTAGGTCATTAATTTCTCTGCTTCTTCTAGCCTGCTGGGAGGGCCCTTTATCTCTGCTATGTTATTCCTTATCTTTCCATTAATGATCTATCTGATGTCCTCCACTATTTCTCAAGTCCAGTGAGTAACCTTATGATCAATGCCTAAAATTCTCCACTGGCATGTATTTATATATGTTTTGCCTAGCTCTCCAGCCATGACCTTGTCCTGTTCAATTGGGACAAACCCCATCTCTTCATTTTGTCTGAGTCTCTGTGCTTGTTTGGGAGACTCAGCTACATCTCCTCTTAAGGGCAATGGCTTTATGAAGAAGAGGTCCTGCAGTGTCCTGCAATGTAGTGTCCCCTATTCCCAAGGGCCTGGTGCTTCTGGGAGTGTCTCCAACGTGTGTTGCTGCTGTGTCCCGCTGCTTGATCCTTCAGGCCACTTGTCTGCAGGGGCTCTTTGCCTGTTGTGGGCAGTGTCTGGTCTCTGGCCTGAATGTGGTACATTTCAACTAGTGTTCTCTGGTCTACTTGTGAAGAGACCTGTGGCTCCCACCACTGGAACCAAGGCTGTGCAAAATTCCTGGGCTGGGAAATGCAGTGTTGGCAGGGGCTCGGGCTGGTCTTCTGGGGTGGGGGGTGGGACTCAATGACCCGGGACCGAGGAAAGTGTGACTGGGAAGAGCAGTTCCATTGGAGTGGAGGAGGGAAGGTTTAGTTTAAGCAATTTAGGTAGC